CCGTGGCAGCAGCACCAGCTGTCCCTGCCCGAGCTGCCTGGGGGGGATCCCCCAGGGCCTGCAGACGCTCTAATCCCCCTGATCCCAAAACATCTCCCCCCGGGGCTATTTCCAGGAGGCCACAAAGCAAACAACAACTGCCTGGCCCCCAAAGCCACCCCCCTGGGCTTTGGTTTCCTCCAGCCTTGACCCCCCTTCCCCCTCTTGGGAGCACAAAAGCCCAGCCTGCCCAGGCCAGGCTTGGACGGGCTTTTTTTGGCCACCCAGAGCCTGGAACTGCCCCGATGCAAAGGCTTGTTTGCTTTCCCTTTTCCACCAGCGTGGTTTATAGTCCACTCTACAACGGTATCAGTGATCCCAAAGTACAACAACAACAACCCCATCTTGCAGGAACACACAGGGCAGGGATGGGCACGTTCCCAAGCGTGTGGGGAGCAAAGAACATTTCAGACATTGTTTGCCTGCACTTGGAGCCTGTCTTGGTTTAATGAAGTTACTTCAGCTACTTGGGATTTGTGGGCTCTCTCTGTGGGATTATTTTCTTATCGTTATTCTTTTTATTACGGGCTCTGTTCCGAGGAAGAATATTATTCTGCTTCCCTTCCAGCTGTAAATCATTTCACTTCAAATCACTGCTGTTCCCTGATTTATGGGGATGTGGAGCCGATCAGAGGAATGAGGAATAAGAAACAAGTCAAGGAGCGAAAACAGAACCTCCTTAATCCGGTTTTGCTGCCTGAGCTCCAGTGTTGGAATGGTTTGGGTGGGAAGGGACCTGAAGGATCATCCAGTGCCACCCCCTGCATGGGCAGGGCCACCTTCCACCAGCCCAGGGTGCTCCAACCTGGCCTGGGACACTTCCAGGGATCCAGGGGCAGCCACAGCTGCTCTGGGCAGCACACCAGGAATGGGGTGGATGCAGCTCCTTTGGGACCTTCCTGCTTGTCCCTGCTTTGGGTTATGGCTGCAAGAAAGGCTTCCCAACCCCTAAGGATTGGGATTTGGGTTTCCAGGGGGTTGTTGTACCTTCTCTGCAAAAGCAGAGGGAAGTCTGAGCGCTGCCCAGGCAGCCTGAGTGGGGCCAGGGCTGGGGAACCACAGGCTGCAGCAAAAAAAGGCAATGAGGCCGTTCTGCTGCCAAAATTTATCCCCTCAAATGCAGCACCAAGTGCTGCTGAATGGTAAGATCCCCCCCCAGTAAAGTTGGGGGTCCTTTTTGCTCCCATTTCATCCCCACTCCTACTTCATCCCCGACTCACACTGAGCTCAGCCCATTGCTGCACTCAGCTCCAGAGCCCTGCAGAAGGCTGGTCTATTATTATTATTATTAATATTAATATTCAGGATATCTCCCCCAGTGACAACAGGGCTGGGGGGCCCAGGCTGGGACTGGCAAAAGGAGTAAACAAAGTGAAAACCCACGGGGTCAGCAGAGCAAACCACAGAGTTTTTGGCTGGGAGTGGGACACAGAATCACAGAATTTAACTGGAGAAACCTTTAGGATCGTTGAGTCCAAGTGTTACTGGCACAGGGAGGTTTTTCCACAGGGAGCAATCCCAGCACCTTTCAGGTAAGGTCACTGTGCCCACATCTCGCTTCTCCCGTGCTCTGTTGATGTTGGACCCTCCTTTCAGAGCTCCTTTTTTCCCAGTTTTCTCCTCAATCCCACGTTTGCAGGGCTGTCTGGCCCAGGCCAGCCCTGCTAGTCCTTGGTCTTTGACCCAAAGAGCAGAATTAACCCAAATTTACCCCGTGACCCTGTCAGGTTCTGGGCACAAAGCACTGGATCCCCATGAAATCCCAGTCCCTGTTCGGGCAGGTGCTGCTCGTGCTATTCCCAAAGAAATGCTGGGGAAGGACTTCCCTGGATTGGCAGGGGAGCTGGAGCAGGGCAGAGCTTGCACCCCAGACTTCACCCCCCTCAAAGGCAGCCTCTGTCCCTCTCAGTGCCCCCGGGAGCCTGGCACAGGGACGCTGATCCCACCGGGATCGTGGGGCTCTCATCCCACACTTTTGGCTCCCAAGGGACTCAATCCTGGCAGGAGGAACAGCAGCAGTGACAGCTCCACATTCAGGGCTCCTCACCCTGCCCTGCCCCATCAGCAGCCCCGAGCTCCAACATGACCCAGCTGGGAGCTCCCAGGAAGGAGGGAACGAGGGCCACGGATCCCAAGGCTCCAGATTTCCCACCCCAGACAGAGGAGCTGTGCCCTGGAGCTGCTTCTGTCTGCGGGAACCCTCCTGACTCCAAGCCCACAGCAGAGCTCTGCTCTGCCCTGCTCGGGTACCACTCTGAGCTCAGCCTGAAGCTGCCCCTGAGCCGAGTCTAAATTAAACCCCTGCTGCCTCATCTTTCTTGCTCTTGCTCCCAGTGATTTCTGCTTGTTCATCCTGAGAGACAGAGACACTTGGTGACTTCATGGACACCCCTCAGACCCTTTAAGCAAACTGCCAGTACATGTGTGACCCTTCTTCCCTCATATCTACCAAGATGTGTTCCCAACACCCAACGCTGTGTTTCCAAAATTCATTTAAAAATCACATTAGTCAGGGGAAGGAACAACGGCAGCCCCCCCAAAAATCAGGTTCCAGGCACCCTGCAAGTCGTTGGACAGTGGGGTGACCCGGGGATGACCTTCTTCTCCTGCCTCAGTGGATGCCAGGGGGGACACACAACATCTCTGCAGCTCCTGAATCATCAGGACAACTTTATAAACCTCCTGGCAAGGCCTTCTGCTGGCAAGAGGGGTTTGGAAAGCCAGGGAAGTGCCTGAAACATGAACTTCAGCCTGGGCCCAATTAAACTGCGGGGTTTTGAGCAGCAGGACCTTCAATCAGACCCTAAATCAGCGTCATAAAATCCCAGAACATCCCGAGCTGGGGAGGCACCCCCGAGACTCAGCAAGGCTGAGGGGCTCAGGCTTGTGGGAATGCAGCAGTGCAAATATTCCTGTGCTTTCCCACCAAATCTCCTGGCTTTCTTGCCCCTGTGTGATTCTTGGAGAGCTGTTCCCAGTTGATGGCCAGGCCCAGCTCACCCAGGGCACTCCCCGGGTTGTGAGCCCCTGTCACCTCCCAGAGCTCCTGGGAACATCCCTTGGGATCCCAGAGTGTCAGAATTAAAATATCCACCGGGAACACTGAGGCTTTTGGTTCAGTGGCTGCTCCTCTGCACCTTCTGGAGGTACTGGGATGTGCTAGGATGTGCTGGGGTGTACTGGGATGCACTGGGGTGTACTGGGAGCAGGGAATGGCACTGGAGATGCACTTTGCAGCCTCGCCTGTGTCTGCTGGGTCCTGAATTTTCCTGGGCTCCAATCTGGCTCATTTACAAACCTGATTTCCACCAGTGCCAACAGAGACACCAAAAGCAGCAAGAATAGCAGGGATTTTGGGATTGACTTCAGCAGCAGGGCTGGGGAGGGGGGGAGCAGGTGCTGCAGGACCCACCCTGTCACCAATTACCCCAAAGTGCTCCCAGAGATGCTGCTCCAACCCCACAAAGAGGAGGAACCTCAACCATCACTAAAAAACCTCAACAAACCTGCAAGGGCTTCTCCCAGTTCCCCTCAATTTTCCTTGGGCTCTGGAACGTTGGTTTGCACCTTTGACAGGGATGGACTGAGACAAGGATTGTTTTCCAAGGGCTGGTTCTTCTCTTTTATTGAGGAATTCCAGCACAAGGCTGGAAGTGTGGGGGAAATCCCCCCTCCCAGCCCTGCACAAGGTCCCAAACAGTCCTTTCCAAAGGCAGGGAGAGGGCCCAGGGTGGTGGTTCCTGCAGGCTCAGGCAGGACCTGGCTGGAACCAGGGGGGAAGATGATGCCAATCCCTTTCAAACACATCTCCATCCTCAGGGAGAGCAGACACTGCTCCAGGAGGTGGATGTGCCCCTTCCTGTGCCAGAAAGCCTGGAGAAATGGGGATTCCAGGCATGGGGAAGGCAAGGAAAGCTCCTGGCACAGCAGGATGTCCATCAGAAGATCAGTGGCTGGTGGCATTCCCCAGGACATGTCCCATGACTTCATAAGGGCTTTGGACACCACCTGGGGCTGCACAGGGAGGGTCTGGAGATCCCACTCCCTTCTCCATCACCACCAGCAAGGCAGTTTTGAGGGAATTTATCCCGTTTTTCTACCTCTGGAAAGATATTCTCTCTTGGTGTGGGCAGGAGCAGGTGAGGATGGTGCCAAGGAGCAAAGGGTTAATACAACTGTCACGGTCCTGAGTGGGGACTGAGGGTGAGCCCTGCACTCTGAGGCCCTTCCCAAATTTAATCCCACAGAAGAAGGCACTGTTTCACTGGGATTAGGGAGATCTGTAGTATAAGGAGATTAAACGAAAATTAAATTGTCTGGAGGGGGTGGATAAGAGGAAGAAAAGGGGATGGGAAGGGGAAGAAGAGGGAAAAGAAAAGGGGAAAGGGAAGGGGAAAGGGAAGGGAGGAGAGGTGGAGAGGGATGTGGAAGGGAAAAGGAATAGGGATGTGGAAGGGAAAAGGAATAGGGATATGGAAAAGAAAAGGGAAGGAAAAGGAAAAGAAAAAAATTACAGAAAAACGAATAGAAATTAAAGTGAAGAAGAAAAAGTGAAAGGAAAAATAAAGAATATAAATTAAAAAATAATTTAAAAGCAAAAGAAAAATTAAAAAAAAAATAAGAAAGAAAAGGAAGAAGGAGAAGTTGTCCTTTGCCCATAGGTGCCTTTAGATTATCCCCAGACACTGGTCCCTGTCAAAGTGCACACGTTCTGTGCAGAGGGCTTTCCAAGTGATTCAAACTCCTGGGGAAGCTCAGACATTTTAATTCCATCTGCTGCAGCCCAACTGCGAGCCCGAGTGCACACGCAGTGCCTGCCAGTGAAACAACCACCGGGCTGCGAAAAAAAACCTAAACCAACACACCCGAGCAGCTTTTTCATCCCGCTGTTTGACACGGGAAAGGAGACGGCGAGGAGCCCCCAGCACGCCGCGAAAACCAAGAGAAAAATCGGCACTCACCAGAGCGTAGACCGAACTGAGCACGGAGCAGCAGAGCAGCAAACCCAGGCTGTGAGAAACCAGATATGATCCCATATCCAAGAGGCTCCTTCCAGCATCCAAGCTCGCTCGGGGAAAAGCAGGAGGGCGAGAGCTCTTCCAGCGCAGCTGATTCCTCCTTCTTCTCCTTCTTCTCCTTCTCCTTCTTCTCCTTCCCTCCCGCTCCCCCCCCCACCCCACCACGCCACCCCCTCCAGAATTTTGTTGGATTGTTTGTTTGCTTCCAGAGGTTTGGGTTGGTGTGGGGTTGTGTTATTTTTTTTGTTGTTTGTTTGTTTGTTTGTGTTGGTTTGGTTTTTTTTCAGCCAGAAAGGCACATGACGAGGAGGATGGCCGGTCCTCTGCTCCGTTTTCTCATGGCTGGGTCGGCGGGGAGCTCCCAAAAAGCGGCCGAGGAGCCCATGGAGGGGGGAGCGGGGGCCGCTTCAGCTCCGCAGCCCCCGCGGCCGCCGCTCCTCGCCGGGCATCTGCGGGACAATCACATCCATCTGGCCCGCCCGCTCCTCCGCTCCCCTTTTATGAGGCAGGGGGAAGTTCAAACCATTTCTTTGTCGAACGCAAACACACAGCGAAGAGGGAGCGAGCGAGGGAGGGAGGGAGTTAGAGAAAGAGGGAGGGAGGGAGGGAGGAGGGAGAAGGCGAGGGAGGGGTGGGAGATTGAGAGGGTGGGGGAAGCTTCAACCACCGCTTTATTTTTAGCCCCAGTAATTTTATCTTTTAGCTTTCAGACAGGGGGGCGAAAAAAAAAAAAAAACTCCACCCCAAACTCCCCCCTCCACCTCTTTTATTTTATTTTTTTTTCTCTCTCGTGCAAACAAATCCCAAAGTTCCCAAAAGCCAAAAACTTGGAAATCGTGGAGCTCCGCGATTACCTTTTCGCCAACAGCGGGACTCGGGGTGTGTGTGTGAGTGTAGGGGGGTTCGCTCGGATATCCCGGCGTGGTGCAGAGCTCCACAATAGGTTTATTCTGCCAGCCTTCCAGCTCGCAGCGAATTTTAGGGGATAAATGGGTATTTCTTTTTAATTTTTTTTTCGCTTCTCTCTCCCTGTCTGGCTCCGAGGAGCTGCAGTTTCAAAAAGCCGATTGAGCACGGCGTGAAAGCGTGGGGTGAAAATCGCTCCCCCCGCTTCTCTGCCACTCTTTTTACGTCGTTTATTTTAGTTTTGGTTTTCTTTTTTCAGCTTTTTCTCCCCCCCCCCCTCCCCGCGGCAAAAGCGCTTTGCGCTCACTCCATGCTCCGAAATCCTCGGCGTTGGGGTTGATTTTTATTATCATTTTATTTGGATTAGTTTTTTTCCACTCACGTGGGCAGGGAATTCTCTGTCCTATCCCGGCAGGAGCCTCTTGGAAACCCGGGAAAGGGGTTTGGAGCTGCCGGGGTTGAGCCCCCCGGAGCACATCAGGTCTCCTCCCCCTCCTTCTCCCAGCCTGGATTTCCCCGCTTTTCCCGAATTTCAGGGCATGGATTTTACACCCAGCTCCGCCAGGAAGTTTCATTCATAAAACCACGCGGCAGAAGAGATGAAATTAGAAAATGAAAATACCCCGAGCTGTTGGGGGCTTATTCAGGCACTGAAAGCGGGCTCCAGGATCCATCCCCTTATCATTTTTCCATCGTGGGAGGAGAACCGAGGAGGGGAGGGGGCTAAAAATCCTCCCGAGGATGCCTCGAGCGGGCAAACACACACAGAGCTCCGCGTTCACTCACTGGGGGGCTTTAAAAATCAACTTGGGGTGCTTGTTGCTTCCCCCCCCCCCTCCTTTTTTCCTCCCCTTTTATTTCCCCCTTTCCTCGCAGTAGCAGCGGATATTTCGGAGCTGAAGGCGGCACGGAGAGCAAAAAGAAAAAAAAAAAATCAAAAAACAAAAAACCCCAAGCTCCCTCCTCTCTGGATCTATCAGGGAGCAGACGGTAAAAACATCAGGTTTTCGCCGAGTGGAGCTGTGAGCATTTCTGTCTTATTTTTTTGGAGCGAAGGGAAAAAAAAAAAAAAAAAAAAGAAGAGAGAGAGAAAAAAAAAAAAAAAAGCCCAAACTCAACCCAAACTCTACAGTCGGTTTGTTGCTGACTTTTTTTCTTTTTTTTTCTTTTTTTTTTTTTTTTTCACAGCCCCATGGCTCTGAATAGGTGCCTTCAGCTAATTTTATGAAAAGGGGCTCTTTCCAAGGCTAAGGTAGAGTAGGGCTTCCTGTGAACGAGAGAGAGAGAGAGAGACTGGGGAAGGGAAAAAAAAAAAGTTGTGCTCTTGATGCAATCTTTTCCTCCTCCTGCTCCTTCTGCTTCCAAACCCTGTCCCTGCCAGTCCCAGCAGATCTTCCCGGCCAGAGGGGCAGGTATAAAATTCCCCCCTTCCCCCCCCCCCACCTCTCCCCTTGGTCGTATCCAGCCTGGGACAGAGGGTCGGTCCTGCATCCCTTCCATCCCTCCCACCCCATTCCCACCCCATTCCCACCCCATTCCCACCCCATTCCCTCCGGCGAGGCGGTGCTTGAGGAGAGGGGGGTGGAGGATGCTGAAGGTTGGGGGGTTTAAAAGCCGTAAAACCCGACCCCACCCCACTCCATTTCCCCCTTCCAGTTAATCCCAAATGTGGTTTTCCAGCTCTTGCAGCAGGGGTTGAAATGATATTTGTTGGGCAAAGGGGTCTGGGGAAGGTGGGGGGATGCTGAGAGGGGTTCCTTTGGGAATCTCCAGGTGGGGATTTTCACCTCTGCTGGGGTCTGTCCTGGGATTTGGCTCCTTTCTGCTCACTGAGGGGGGCTGGGGGAGCCAGGGGTCCCCCAACATCTGTGTGTGTTTAAATGTGGGGCAGACTGAGCAAATATGTACTCAGGGCTCTGTAGGTGCTCGGAGAAGGAAAGAGGGGGGAAAACAAATCCACTGCAAAATTTCAGGGGCCCCATCACGGCTCCTTTGCTGGGTCTTTTCTTGGAGAGAGGGGGGAAAGCAGGGGAAACCCTCATATCTGTGTGTCTATTTATAAAATAAGTTATATATATATATATATATATGCCACTGCCAGGAGGAGTGGGGTCAATAAAGCAGGGCCTGCTGTTCAGGGAGTGACCACATCCAGGCCTTGGCCCCTCATCTGTATCCAGTCAGGTACAGAACTGCATTTGGGAGCCTCTGGGCTGGTATTCCTCCCCCAAATCCTTTATTATTAAAGGCAGGTAAGACTGAGCAGCTGAGGCTGCACAGGAAGGGGGTTGCTCCCAGTTTAACCCTTCCACAAGAATCTCCGTGGTTAGAATTTGCCTCTGAGCCCAACACCGAGAGGTTTTGGGTCCTCTTTCTCCACAAGCAAAACAAACTCCCAGCTCAGGGCTCCCAAATCCCAACCCAAACCCCTGCCAGGTGTGGGAATGATCCATTCCTCCCTGCCTGTTCCCTTCTGGGAGGGGGGGAATTGCAGCTCCTTGCAGGGCTGAGCTCCAAATGCACTCCAGCAAAGGTGGGATTTTCCAGCCCTTCTCCCAGCCACTCCATCCAGGCCCGAGGGAGGATGGGCAGTCCACATCCCTCTCTTGGATTCCATAGGAATGCAAGTTTTCCCAGCTCAGCATGGCTCCTGGAGGTTTCTGCCACTGCTGTGGATGAGCTCAGATCCACAGGAGGGGTTTCCTTGGATTCCACCCTGCTCAGATCCACAGGAGGGGTTTCCTTGGATTCCACCCTGCTGAGATCCACAGGAGGGGTTTCCTTGGATTCCACCCTGCTCAGATCCACAGGAGGGGTTTCCCTGGATTCCACCCTGCTCAGCTCATCTCCCTCTCCATCCTCTGGGAAGAGCTGGAGCTCAGGGTGAGGACTGGACAGGGAGCCTGAGATGTTCCCTAAAGTCACAGGGAATCATTGCCCAGGGACACCCAGTGCCAGGACACCTTCACCATTCCCATGATCTCAAATCAACCTCTCCAACACTTTCCCTGCACAAAAGAGGGTCCCTGTTTGACTCCCGAGGGGACAGAAAATCCACCCCTGCAGCTTTAGGCCTTTCCAGCCTCGGGAACTGGGATTTCTCCAAGGTCAGACAAGAACTCTGGTTTGGAGCAGGTGCTCCAGGAAATGATTTTGTCACCTCCCCCCACCCCCAAACACTGTGTGTTCTGGTTACCAGGGGAGCTTATTTTGAGGTGAATTATTCAGCCTGTCCTGTTTTTTGTTTGGGATGATGCATCCTGGTGTGTGTGAGCTCCCATACTTGGAAACCTTCCTACTGGAAAACTCCATTCCCCTTAGGAGATGTGTCCCAGCCTTATATTCCTATGGAGGCAAAGGTAATTTGGACATCCTTTGTTTTTGGTTTCCTTGCAGATTGTCTCCCTGAACGTGGATATGGTGAAGGAGGGAGGAATGTGGGGCTCAAAGGAGCCTTTGTAATGCTGCTGGTTTAAGGAGCCCCTTGGGGATGGCAAAGGCTTGAAATGTGTTTCTCCAACTTCTTAAAAAAACCCTCTCCAAACGTTTAGATCCTTCTCAAGATGTAAATCAGCTTCCAAGGGAAAATAATAATAATAATAATAATAATAATAATAATAATAATAATAATAATGGCATCATCAATTTAAACTGCCAGAAAAATTTTGGCCAGAAATGGTGGCTATTGGGAATCAATGGTAGGTAATTTTGACACAGTTTAATAATAAAACTTTCCTCTCCCTGGATTTTTCTTTTTTTTTTCTTCCCAGCTATGGGAACACTTTAGAGTTGAAACCTCATCCTGGATTAAAAGCCTTCTGTCCTTTCTCTCCTGGCTCACTGAAGTGCCAGAAGGCAGGGATAGGTGGGATATTGGGAAGGAATTCTTGGCTGGGAGGTGGGGAGGGACTGGAATGGGTTTCCCAGAGAAGCTGTGGCTGCCCCTGGATCCCTGGAAGTGTCCAAGGCCAGGTTGGAGCTCCTGTGACAGGACAAGGAAAATTCATCAGTGAGTGAACATCCAGAGAATCCTCCTGAAGAGCTGGAGGTGAGAGCCTGACCTGGCCAAACACTCCCTAGGACAGCAGGGAATTCCAGCTTTTCCCTGGTCTGGTTTGTTCCTGCTTTGGGGGAAGAGGGAGGTGAGGCCTGGGGGGTTGAGGGTATGGTTTCAGGCAGGCAGCTCATGGACCATCCCATGGAATCCTGGAATGGTTTGGGTTGGAAGGGACCTTTAAGACCATCCAGTCCCTCCTGCCATGGGCAGGGACACCTTCCACTATCCCAATTTGCTCCAACGTGGCCTTGGACACTTCCAGGGGGGAGTCTCTTCCAGGGAAGAGTTTCTGCCTTCCTGGGAAGGGTCTTTATTTGATTTATCAGCTCCATCTTCCACGACAGCAGTGTGAGCTGAGAGGTTTTACACCAGACCTCACCCACAGTTGCCCTTCCTGATTTCTACACCTCCCTGAACAACCTCATCCCTACCCTGGGTGTCTCGAGCCTGCAGGTTTTTCTCCACATGCCAAACGTCTTTTTATTCCCCTTTTCTTTCACGTTCCTTTTCCCTCTCCCCCTCCCCTGCAAACTGCAGAGGTGAGCAAGGGAAAAAAAAAAAACAACCAACCTCTGGAATTGCCAGGGGGCCAAAACAATTTGGGAAAGCTTGGCGGGAGACGGGATGAGAGGTGGGAGCAGCACTGGGACAAAAGGAGCCGATTATCCATCCGATTATCCATCCCTTAAATGATGCTGATCCCGGCCACGCCGCCTCCCTTTCCCCAGCTGCACCCTGGAAATAGCGGGGACACATCCTTTGCTGGCAGGCGGGTTTAATGGGAATTAAAACAGCTGGAGAAGCTCCGGCGGGGGGACTGAATCGCGCCGGGAGTTTGGGGACGAGGGATGGAATTCCCGCGGGATGGATGGGCCGCTCTCTCCCGCTCCGGGAGCATCAATCCCAGCGCTCCGCAGCTCCAGGGACCCTCTGAACTTTGACTGTGTCCAGTTGCACAAGGCGTTCTTTGTAAGGAATACTCAGCTTTTAATCCCAGATACGAGGCTGGAAGGCAGGAAAAGCGGGATGAAAGCAGCTGGAATCACCTTATCACCGGCTGCTGACTCAGGCCGGGGGGAGATGAAGACGAATATAATTTTTTTCCCTGCAGTTGCTGAGCTTGGAACCTGTTCCCTGGGACCATAAAGCGCCCTCCCAAAGCTCCGATTGATCTCCAGCGTGCGCGGGGAGCAGGGCAGGGATTCCCGGGAACAGCCTCGGGGGGAGCTTTCCCTGGAGTTCACAGTCCATTGGAGCTCTGATAAGCGTTCAAAGGTGACGGCCCGAAACCTGCGGGGCTGGCGGGGAGAGCAGGGGAGGGGGGAACAGGCTCTCTTTGTGAGGCTGCTGCTCCCGGGATTCCTGCGCTCCCAGCCTTCAATGGCACCTTTCATTCCCGAAACGCTCCAGGAAGCTCCTCAACCTTTGTCCTGCGTCCCTGTGAGCCCAAAATCCGCCCACGAGTGGCGGGGACTTCAAGCCCTGGTGATTTTTTGGGTGGTCGGGTTGGACCCGGGGTTGTCAGTGGGACCTTGCTGGAGGCTTCAACCCAGAAAAGAGGTTGGAGGGAGAGAGATGGGAAGTAGATCCATGAGAACCACTGGGAAATGGTGATTTGGTGCTTTTCCTAATAGGGATTGGGAGCACAGCACTGGGAGTTTGGAGGAAGACAGATGGGAAGTAGATCCATGAGAACCACTGGGAAATGGTGATTTGGTGCTTTTCCTAATAGGGATTGGGAGCACAACACTGGGAATTTGGAGAGAGACAGATGGGAATTAGATCCATGAGAACCACTGGGAAATGGTGATTTGGTGCTTTTCCTAATAGGGATTGGGAGCGCAACACTGGGAGTTTGGAGGGAGAGAGACAGATGGGAAGTTGATCCATGAAGACCACCATGATGTGGTGATTTTTGGTCCTTTTCCTTACAGGAATTGGGAGCCCAGCACTGGGAGTTTGGAGGGAGAGAGACAGATGGGAAGTAGATCCATGAAGACCACCATGATGTGGTGATTTTTGGTCCTTTTCCTTACAGGAATTGGGAGCCCAGCACTGGGAGTTTTAGGATACTCACAAAGCAAACCAAAGGAGGTGGCTCTTCACAGCTGTGGAACTCCTTGTACAGGATCTTGTTTGCATGGATTCAAACTGGGATTAGATAAAACAAGGAAAAAAACATTCCAGGCATTTAAAACTAAGAGGTCACTGAGTTGGGGGTTACTGAGGACTGGGGAGATATGTGGGAAAACATCAGCAGATGTTTTTCCTGCTGTTCTTGTGGTAGGAGTGGTGCTACCAAGAACTGGCAGTGTGTTGGCCAGTTGTTATCCATCCCTGGTGCTGCTGGAGACAGGAGACTCCAGAGGGTGCATTTTCCATCTGAGCTGGATCAGCAATTTTGGGGTAAAAGAAAAAAAAAAAAAAGAAAGAAAGAAAAAAAGAACAAAAAGTGATTTTCCAGGAGGACAAGTGGAAAACTCCCCCTCCAACCAAGTTCACTCCTGTCTGAAAGTCCTCCAGGCCTCCTGTCCATCTGCACGTGGACCTTGCAGAGCCAATCCCTCTGCCTTGGCCCCTGGGTGACACCTCACTGGCTGCTCACCTGGAAATTCCAGGGAATATTAAAAATTGTGGGCTCAGGACTTGTCCCTTCCTTCCCTCTGCCTGGGTTTGGGCAGGACCAGCCTGAATCTGGCAGGGCTGGTCTGAATCTGGACTAATCTGAATCTGGACTAATCTGAACCAGCTCAGGTAATCCCAGCACTAATTCTTGTCCCACAGAGCCTGGGAAGGTGTTTCCATGAGTCCTGGGATTCATGGAGCCCCTTTCTGTTGCTCCCCACTCCTGGAGCATCTCCCTGATTATCCCAGCCCTGACATCCCCTCCTGGGGTGTGGGAAAGGCACCTAATCCAGAGCAAGGCTTTGCCTCTGGCCTGGGAGGTTGGACTGGCTGAAAATCTGCTGCTAAAAAAGGTATATTTTGGTGTTCAACTCAGGTGGTTTTTGTTTCCAGCTCTTGGATCTCCTCAGGCCTTTCTTTCCTGAAGCAAAAAAAAAGGCTTGGCTGCTCTTTCAGTCCTTTATCCGAGGGGATGGCCGGACAAATGACATTTCTGATGGAAAATTCCGGGCTCCATCAGGTGAAATTGGGGGGCAAATAAACTCCAACCCTTTATTTTTCAGCGTCAATCAGTGCAGGCACAACGAAGGATCCAATTATTTCGAAGCAATCCATGATTAGGGGCTATTTTCCTGCTGTCCTATAACATAAACCCTGAAAGAAATCATCACAGGGATACAATAACAACATAAAAAACACATCAGCACTTGCAGGCTGGAAGGAACACGGTAAAATTCCAGCTGCCCTTGCAGAAATGGAGACAAAACCCCTCTCACTGGGATTTTTTTTAGCACTTTATGTCACTATTTCATTTACAGTGGAAATAAGAAACTCAAAGGTGGAAGGGATGTCACCAGAGAGGTTTAAAGCATCATTTACGCCCTGAAATCTGGGTGAGTTTGGATTTTCTTCCCTTGGTGTGTGTGGTTTGGTTTGGTTTGGTTTGGTTTGTTCTCTGCTGTTGTTGTTGTTGTTGTTGTTGTCTTGGGCTTCTAAAACGTAGGGGAAGACCAAAATTGGATGGAGAGAATTCCCAGGAGAATTCAGAGGGAAATTCAGCACCTGAAAGGGTAAAACTCCTGGGAGAACTCAGAGGAAAATCCCTCCTCTGTCCCTGAGCAAATTCAGTGATGGAAAAGGCCCAGAGAAAGAGGGATTGGACATTTCCCTTCGAAAGGAGACAACCTGGGAAGAAAAACACCCCCTAAATGCCTTAATTAACCCTGTCAGGAGTTCAGGTTGATGACTCTCAGGTAAATGTCTTCTCCATCCAACAGCAGCTCCTCCAAGCTGAGGGATTGGAATGAACTTCTCCCATTTAGAGAGTGAAATGCTATTTTTAATAAAGAAACTCCTTGGATTTTATGAAGAGGCTCCTAAACAGCTCCAGCCAGGCATTAGGAAAGGAATAAATAGAAATAAATAGGAATAAATAGGAATAAATAGGAATAAATAGGAATTTAGGATCCATCACCTTCAGCAGATGGAAGTAATAAATCAACAAGTGAGCAGGGAAGATTTTACAAAGGAATTGTTTTATTATATTAAAAGGGTGTTCTTAAAATGGAACTGATTTATGCAACTTTTCCTGCTGCTCTCGTGGAATTTCCCACCACCTTAAAAACTTGTGTTGGAAAGAAAGAACTTCCATTAAAAAACCCCTTGTATTAAGAATTAAACTGAGTCTCAGTGCAATTCCTGAACATCTTTGTAGGATGAAAACACTTTGATAAGAAAACCCTGGAATTTCTCCTTCCCTTCAGCAAAACCAGAAATGTTGTTAAATAATTGCAAACAGTTTGAGTATTTCCTTTATATATATATATATATTTATTTGTTTATTTATTTATTTGTTTATTTATTTTATTCCCCCTTTTTTCACACCTGATGGCTGTAAATTAGGATTTTCCTCAAACTTGCTTCCTTCAGGTGGAAGCTGGAGAGATCCTGGTGCTCCTTCAGCTCATTCCACACTTCCTGAGGGCCATCCAGCAAATCCACCAGGATACTGTGCAGTTACACCCCATAAAATTTTTTTGCTGCCTAAGGAAAAGGTGGAATTTGGCTCTGGTATTCCAACAACCTCCCTCAGCCAAGCAAAAGAATAAAGGAGCAGAATGAGGAAATAAAAAAGGAAGGAGGGGATAGAGAAAGAAAAGAAACCCCTTTGGAAGATTCCCTTTTTTGCCAGGATTTGAGGCATTCCCAGGGCAGGAACATTTTCCAGCTGGTCTGTTCAAAGGTTTTTTTTCTCAGGTTTAAAAAGTGCTGCCTCAGCAGAAGGGAGTGACAGGTTCCATTTGGGCTGAAAAATCACCATTTCCAGCTCGGGGAGTTTTCTTGCAGCGTCGATGTGGTCAGAAAAGAGGTCCTAAATTCGGGAAAAATGGGATTTTCGCATCCAAACTCCTCTCACAGCAGGGTCTGGGATCTCTCCCCGTGTGCAGGGCTGGGAAAGGAATAAATCCATGGGTTAACTGGAAGGATCAACACCCATGCTGAGGGCTAGAGGAGGTTCATTCTTTCTCTCTGCTCCTTATCTCCAGTTTCCTCCATCTGATCCCAGTTGAGGGACGATTTTCCAGCTTCTCAGCTGGTGCAAATTTATCCTTTCCTGCCCAGGGGGAAATCAGAAATGTCAGTTTAGGCTGTTGTGGCTAAACAATGAAATTAAGATGTTTGGGGATGGCTGAGGCTGTTCTGAGGCAGGGGGTGATCAGATCATGGAACCGTGGAATGGGTTGGGTTGGAAGAGACCTTGAAGATCATCCCATCCCACCCCCTGCCAGGGACAGGGACACCTTCCACTAGCCCAGGTTGCTCCAAACCCAGTCCAACCTGACCTTAAAGATCATCTAGTGCCAACTCTTATCCTAAATAAATCCATCCACTCTGGGAGTGGAATCACTTTCCCTAAATGAAGACATTTGGTGTTTCCTGAGGTATCTTGTGCTGTCCAACCTATCCATGGGAGGCTGCCAGAGGGGACATGGGATTTAAGGAGACCCTTTGGAGTGGCAGCTGCAGACCAGGCAGTGCCTTGAGGTGCTGCAGTCCCAGAATCCCAGAGGTTTCCTGGGATTCCCTGGGCCTGATCAAAGCCCAGGGAAACCAAGGGAAAAACCTCCTCCCTTGGACAGCTCTGAGCTCGGCATTCCAGAGCTGCTGGGGGATGTGGGGGCTAAGAGGGTCTCTCAGAGGCTGCAGACACACATGGGTAGCTCATGAATCATGGAATCATGGAATCATTGGGGTTGGAAAAGCCCTCCAAGGTCACAGAGTCCCCCCCTGTGCCCATCCCCACCTTGTCCCCAGCCCAGAGCACTGAGTGCCCTGGGACACCTCCAGGGTGGGCACTCCAAACCTCCCTGGGCAGCCCCTGCCAAGGCCTCACCACCCTTTCCAGGCAGAAATTCCTGCTGATGTCCCACCTGCCCCTCCCCTGGCCCAACCTGAGGCCGTTCCCTCTCCTCCTGTCCCTGTTCCCTGGGAGCAGAGCCCGACCCCCGCCTTGCTACGACCTCCCTTCAGGGGCTTGGAAAGAGCCAAAAGGTCTTCCCTGAGCTTCCTTTTCTCCAGGTTAAACATTCCCTGCCCCCTCACGTGACTTCAGAGCACTGAATCCCCCTGGGCCTGGAATGCCGGTCCTTCAGTGGGATGGCAGCTGTTTGCAGGAGGAAAGCCTGGATGGTCAGAGGCAGGAGAGCAGCCAGAGCTGCATCCCATTATTCCAGAAACGAAGGCACAGACAACTTTGGAATCCCACTGGCAGCTCTGTCCCATTGTCTGAGCTCGTGGAGCAACAGAGGGAGAAAGGCAAGAAACGCTCTGCATCTTAGAGGAGGTCCCTGCCAAAAAAAATCGGGATCAGGGTGGAAAGAGGAGCTCCGAGCGACATCTTCCGTGTGGGCTCCACGGGCAACACGAACCGAGAGGGGAGCATTTATTTCCTCGGGTCCTGTGGGTGCCACCCTGGGTGTCCAGATGAAAAGCTGACCTTTCTAAACCGAAATGTTTCCCCCTCCAGGAGGGTGGAAATGTTTTGAGTCTGTTCCAGCCCAAATGGCAAAACACCAAGAGGCTCCTTGTGCAAGAGCAGCGTCCCTGCCCCGCGTGCTGCTGCGTCGATTGCTCTGTTTGTTGGGCACAGCTGATGTTTTGCAGCGCAAAGTTTGCACTGCAGAGGTTCTGGGCTGGGTTTGGGGGCCGGGGTAAGGCTGGCCATGGCTGGGATTTCTCCTCTCCTCTCCCAAGGGATGTGATAAATTGATCCGTGCCCACGTTTCTTTATTTTATTCTTGACTTGCCCTTCGAGGGGGCTTTTTTAGGCTCTTTCAGGTGCTCATCTTTGGGTAGGAGTGAAAGCCAGTGTTGTCCTCTTTTTCCAAAGCCTCCAAAGGATTGATTTAAGCTGGACAACTCCAGGGCTGAACTTAGGTGAAATGAATCCCAGTTTTACTGCCCATCCCCTGCTGCTGCTCAGACTCCACTTGAAGACACCACAGTCCAAGTCCAAGAATTTCTAGGAAGGTAATAAAGGAAGGAATTTATGATTTCAGAGGATTATAAGCATCAAGACCCTTAATCCCAGCAGATAGCCTTGAAAAAACCAGAGGGGCTACGTGGCCAGAAGAGCCTTGACACAGAAAGTCGATCCCTCGTTTCTGTGAGGTGTCAGCAAGTTTTAACTGAGCTTGGCCTGGAGATGTTAAACTGGTTGGAACAAATCCACGTCCAGAAGAGGTGAATCAGTGTCTAGCAATTCACTAACCAGTTGCTCAAGTGCTGGTTGCTAAAAAAAATCTGCATTTCATTGCCTGGGGAGGGTAAAGTCCAGCTTAACACACAGATGAACCCAAGGAATCAGCCCCCCCAAACTCCTCGGAGCTGCTGAGCTCAGGAACTGGGGCTGTCGAGCAGAACATCCCAGGCTGGGCCATGAACATTCCTGGTGTGAGATGGGACACCAGGAGGGGGTGAAGGTGGGCAGGGAAAGGTGCTGTGGGAGCTAAAGGGCAGCTGGGCCCTGGGTGACAAAACTGGCCCTGAGGAGGTTCAAGCTCAATGCAAAAGTCAAAGGTCTCTGTCCATCCAAGGGCATCAGGTCCCAGATTGAATCTCTTGGGAACAGTGAGAGCAGGAGCTCAGACTGCTGCTTGAATTCCCATTTGCTCCTTGTATATTCTGGAACAAATTTTCCTGAAAAAGAGGGAATTTGTATTAAAGAGAGAGAGGAAAATCTCTGCTGGGTTGGGTTGGTTCCAGTCACAGACCTGCCACCAACTTAGTGAATGAGCCTGGAGGGTTGTTCACATCATTTGTCTTCCCAGGACACAAAATGTGACAAGAAATTAAACCCCTTGATTAGGATTTGAATGAACTGAAACCCCAAAATCTAAGAACCTCTTTCCTGTGGGACAATTCCATCAGGTGGGATTGAACTTGAGTATTAAGACAGTTAAAATTCGAGAGGAAATTCAAGGTGAAATTTGAGAAATTAAATCCTGAGAGTCAGAAAACCTTATTAAAAAAAAAAAAAAGAATAAAAATTCCAGTATTCCCTAAAATCTGTGTTGACATTCCCAGCTAAACTGTGGGAATGATCCAACCCTCTTGCAGCTGAAGGTACCACATGATGATGCATTTTTCTCTCTCATCCAAGCAGGGGTTTTAGTGCTGGAGCCCCTGGAGGGGCTGTGGTTGCTGCTTATCCAACAGGACACCTTCTGGAGCCACCTGAGAGGAGCATCCCTGGCTCCATCCCAAAAGTGACTCACCATTCCCAGAGGAAATGCACTGGCAGGGGTGAGTAAGGCCTGAGTGTCACCCTGCTGTCACTCCTGAGCTGTTCTTGAAATAAAGAAACAAACAAACTCATCTCCTGTGGGACTTTCAGGTATTCTGGTGACTTGGAATTCCCACTTTGTGATTAAGGCTCTGGCTTGAGTCCAGAAATGGCTCCAAATTAATCATGGAGTCTCACATTTGAACTGGTTCTTTGGGCACCAAAAGAGAGAAACAGGAAGAGGAGAAGGAGGGGAAGGAGATAGGGAAGGAGGAGGAGAAGGAGAAGGAGAAGGAGAAGGAGAAGGAGAAGGAGATGAAGGAAAAGGAGGAAGAAGAGAAGGAGGAGAAAGAATACATGTGGAAAAGGGGAAGAAAAAGCTTCCAGGACTCCATCCAACCATCCTGGTGCTGACCAGAACAGCTTCTCCTGCTTCCTGGGGATGAACACGGACAGGGCCAACACCAAGGGCTGGGCAGGAGGGACAGGACAGGAGCAGCTTTGTGGTGCCACCTGGCACATTCACCCTGGTACCTTCAGAGGGGCAGAGGAAGCTCCACCAAAGCTGGGCAGAAAGTCCCCCCAGCCCAGCCCAGGTCAATGGCTTTTGCTCAACGCTGCAATTTGGGAAGATTTCTGGCTCCTGCTCCAGGAATTCAGCAGATGAGTCAAGCAAAAAGTGTCTTGCTCCCAGATGGTGACCAGAACCCCCGAGAAATGCAGGGATTTGGTGGGTTATAAGAGCAGGATGTTACAGAGCTGGGAATTGATCCCAGCCCCTTGAATCCCTGACGACTCCAAATAAGGTTGTCAATGAATTTGATCCCCGTGCCAGGAGTGTCAAGTTGAAATCAAGTTCTCTGGATTCCTTTGTCCCACATCCAAGAGCATTTTGCAGCTCCAGCTGTTTTGTTCCACTAAACCCATCCAGCCATCTTCAGGTGGGACTGTCAGGCTTGGCCTGATGCTCCTCCAGTGACTATTTATAATAAACATTTATAAGGTTTGAACAATCCAAAGTAACCTGTAATTTGCCTTAGAGGGGATTTTTTATATGTATAAAAAGAGCCCAAGCCCTTTTCATACATAATTCACCACATGGACACTTGGACAGGCAAATTTCCCATCCCAGCTGAATTATTAATGCCTTAATAGGTATTTCAGGATGAGAATCCTCTTAATTAATGAACATTACCTCCCTATATGTTAAACATCCAGCATTTAATTCTGAATCCTTGCTCCCCTCCAATGAATGTCTGGGCCAAGTCATTCCTTTCATGCAGAGTGTCCTGAACCAGGAGGAAAAGCTGATCCAGAATAAAATTAATGACATGTCTTTTTAGGGTTAACTTTAATCCCTAGGATTTGGAGCAATGGCCCATAAAACATCCCATCCTGTGCCCACCTTCCCCGTGCCCCAACCTGGGGAGGAGGTGTTTGTGTTGCCCCCCCCCAAGCACAAATATTTGCCTTGTCCTCAGAGGAAAAGTTTAACTGCAGAGCAAATAAAAACCCCAATCCTGGGTTACACCAAAAAAATCAGTTTATTTGTGGTTCCCCCCACCCCCCTCATGGGGAACATGGAGGCTCCAGGATGGGAAGAGCTTCCCAAAGTGGGAACCACTTGAGCAACTCCCTAATTTTTGGCTCAATTCAATTTTTGTCACTGTTCAAAAGCACAAGGTCCCAGCTCTGAACTGCACAGCAAACAGAGCAGGGAAGGGGAGCCACATGGTAGGTTTGTTGGTGTTTTTTCCCCTCTGGAAAGTTCTATTCTGTGGAATTTTTATAGGTCTGAGGAAAGCCATAAATCACTAAGGTTGGAAAAGACCTCCAAGATCAGCAAGTCCAACCTTCAGCCCAATCCCCCCTTTCCATTAAACCAGATTGGAAAATGTCCCATCCTCTCCTTGTCTGAACAATTCCAGGGGTGGCGACTCCACAGCTTTGTCCCAAATTTCTTTTGCACTCATTTTTAACATTTAATTCCTTTGGAATTTCTGACTTCTTTCTTCAGTGATAGAGACCCCAATTTTATCAACAGGATTAACTTGGTAGGGATTTAGAGGTGGTGGGGAAGAGAAGGTTTGGGAAAGGAAGGTTTGGGAAGGGAAGATTTGGGGAGGTTTGGGAAGGGATGGTTGGGAAGGTTTGGGAAGGGAAGGAATAGTTTGGGAAGGTTTGGGAATGTTTGGGAAGGGAAGGTTTGGGAATGTTTGGGAAGGGAAGGTTTGGGAATGTTTGGGAAGGGAAGGTTTTGGAAGGTTTGGGAAGGGAAGGTTTGGGAAGGTTTGGAAAGGGAAGGAATAGTTTGGGAAGGTTTGGGAAGGGAGGGTTTGGGAAGGGAAGGTTTGGAAAGGTTTGGGAAGGTTTGGGAAGATTTGGGAAGATTTGGGAAGGGAATGTTTGGGAAGGGAAGGTTTGGGAAGGTTTGAGAAGGGAAGATTTGGGAAGGGATGGTTGGGAAGGTTTGGGAAGGTTTGGGAAGATTTGGGATGATTTGGGAAGGGAAGGTTTGGGAAGGTTTGGGAAGGGAAGGTTTGGGAAGGTTTGGGAAGGGAAGGTTTGGGAATGTTTAGGGAAAGGGAAGGTTTGGGAAAGGGAATGTTTGGGAAGGGAAGGTTTGGGAAGGTTTGGGAAGGGAAGGAATAGTTTGGGAATGTTTAGGAAGGGAAGGTTTTGGAAGGGAATGTTTGGGAAGGTTTGGAAAGGGAAGGTTTGGGAAGGGAAGGAATAGTTTGGGAAGGTTTGGGAAGGGAAGGTTTGGGAAGGTTTAGGAAGAGAATGTTTGGGAAAGGAAGGTTTGGAAGGTTTGGGAAGGGAATGTTTGGGAAGGGAAGGTTTGGGAAGGTTTGGGAAGGTTTGGGAAATGGATTTCCTGGAGAAGAACACGTGGTTTCTGTCTCTGGGGTGTTTCAGACCAGGTAAATAAGGTGGGGAGGGATCAGGAGCCTCGATCCTGGGTTTCTGAGCATCCCATTTTCCAGGAAACAGGATTTGAGGGCTCTCAGGAGAAAAACCAGTCCTGGGCAGCACAAGCTGGGGCATCTGCAAGTGGTGTAGGACACATCCCACACAGGCTTCCTGCACCGGGGGATCAACGAAGGACTAAAAATATCGGGGCTCTGGGATGCTGGAATTGTGTGATCCTGTGACCCTGAGATCCTGGGATCCTGGGATTTTGAGGTTCTAACAGTCACAATATCACAGTGCAAATTTTTATTTTTAAATAATGCATAGAAAATACGCATTAACATTCATGATATTATAACACATATTTTTATTTTTAAATGATGCATATGAAACATGCATTAGTTAACATTTACACCATTACAATAAATATTTTTATTTCTTTTATTTTTTAGACTAAATATAAAACACACATTAATTAACATTCATACTACTATAATACATATTTTCATTTTAAAATAATGTATAGGAAACGTGCATTCATTAACATTCATCATATTACAATACATAGAGAAGCAGCAGAGGTGACAATTTGTTTGGAAAACCAAAATGCTGACCCAGAGCAATTGGAAAAATTCCAGCGAGGCTGAAATGAACCCAAAGTTCACCTTTGGATGGATGGGAGGCTGAACTTGCCAGGAAGCTCCAGCAAATCCCACCTTTATCTGCTCTGGGTGGAGAGGGAAGGTGGGATTTTTCAAGGAAAACACCCTCAGCTTTCACTGCTGCAGCTTTTCCCAGGGATGGGGGTGATGTCACCTGATTTAAAGCAGGGAGTGTGTGACCACGGTGCTGGGAAGGGCTCTGAGGATCCCCACACTCACATCCCTGGAAATATCTGCTGGGATGTTTGGGATACGATCAACATTCGTTCCCTGCTGCTGAATATTCAGAAACCACAAGAATATGCCCTTTTTGTTTGTTTGTTTTGGGTTTTTTCCACACTGAGGTAATTCTGGTCAAAAGGAATCCTATGGAAGTGCAAAAACCCTTTTAAACCACCTGATAAAATCACAACTGAAAATAAAACCAGCTCTTCTGACCACCCTCTCTTGGCTTAACCCAACCCAGAGAAGCTCTTCCACCTCCAGACACCTCAAAAAAAAAACTCCAGACACCTCAACCACCCCCCCCAGCTGTGCCATATTAATTCCCCCAGATTGATTTTATATTTGGCTTTTCCCAGCTGAACTGGGGTTCACTTCTCCTTGCCAGCTCAAGTTTAACCCTCTTTGCAGTAAAAAAAATAAAATAAAATAAAATAAATCTTGTTGGAAGGGTTTGGGGGTAGTGGAAAGCAGTTTAAAAATTAATACAGGCTGGTTTTTTTTTTTTCTCAGATGAACTATAAATGCTATTTTAACAGGTATCCAGTGAAAACCCAGCCAGGAATTCATTAGGATCCCAAAGCAGCCCATTTTCTGAAGGAGAATGAAATACAATCCACCTTCCCTGTGGGTGCTGCTTTCCTAAGACATAAAAAGCTACCAAGAGTTTTGCCTTTGCTCCAAATTCTCATCACTTTCAAACAGAATAACTTTAGACTGGAACAGAAGAGAATCTTCCAATTCCAATCTTCCAAGCAGAACATTCCCAGGGATAAGTTTTCCCCTTTTTTTTTGGCTGAGTTATTTGTGCAGGAACCATCACAAAGCTGTTCTGGAGGGGGTTTATCTGCGGGTTGGTGGTTTTATTTCTCCTACACCTTCATGGAGCATCCCTGGGGTGGAGAATCCTGGAATTAGCGAGGTTGGAAAAGCCCTCTGAGATCACCAACCCAGCACTGCCAAGGCCACCACCAAACCATGTCCCCAAGTGCCACATCCACGGGTTTTTTTGGACACTGGCAATAAAAAGCTGGGACAGGGAACCTTGGGCACTGAATCCGGAGCTGAATCCAGAGCTCAATCCCAGGATCCCTCTCTAGGGTGGGATGTGGTGCATCCCAGCTGTTGATTTGGACAAAAAGGGGTATTGACATCTCTTATTTAATCTCTTTATTTGGCAGCTGCTCTGATTACCCTCCCTGTGCTGGCTGGAGCACCCAGACAGCTCCTGAACCTCAGGCTCAAACTCGAGCCCACCGTTCCCACCCAGCCCAGCTTCTTTTCCAGGGATGCACCAGGAGGGCCTTTAAAGCATCACTTTGTCTTCCCTTCTGCACATAATTCCAGTGCTGGGCAGCACTGACGTGGGGGAAGGTGGAGAAGGTTGGACAGCAGGTTGGGCCAGGGCTTGGACTCCACTGGGGTCCCATCTCAAGACCCCCAAAAGCCAAAGCAGAGCTGGCTCAGCTGGAATTGAGGTGAGGATTTCCTGGGGAATGAAGGGCCTGGAAATGTTGTTTCACAGTAATGGGAAACATTCAGTGGGACTGAAGTGAACACCAAGGTCACTGCAGAACATTCCAGCCTTTCCCACTCGGTGAGTCTGGAATTCTGGGAGACTGTGAGTCTGAAATTCTGTGAGTCTGAGATTCTGCAATTCTGTGAGTCTGGAATTTTATGAGTCTGGAACTCTGGAGTTCTATGATTCTGGAATTTAGTGATTCTGTGAGTCTGGAATCCTGTGACTCTGGAATTGTGTGGTTCCGTGAGTCTGGAATTGTGTGGTCCTGTGAGACTGGAATTCTGTATTCAGTGAGTTTGGAACTGTGTGGTTCTGTGAGTCAGGAATTCTGAATTTGGTGGGTTTGGAATTCTGTGATTCTGTGAGTCAGGAATTCTGTGGTTCTTTGAGTCAGGAATTCTGTGATTCTGGAATTCTGTGGTTCTTTGAGTCAGGAATTCTGTGGTTCTGGAATTCTGTGAGTCTGGGATCAACAGGGGACTGGAATGATGCTGCCATCCAAGACTTTTCCATGACTGGGAAAATCTGCAATTCCCAACAAAAGGGGGAGAACTTGGATGTGGAAGAGCCTGTGGGAATATCCCAGCCTGCTTTCCCAGGAGTGCCCTATTGCAGGATGTTTGGCAGGCAGGATACCTGGAGAGGTGGAATCCTGGATTGGGGTGCTGCCACCTTCAATTCTACCCACAAAAACATGGAAAAATGGACAAAACCCATGGCCAAAACGGGAGCAGAGAGAAGGCAGATCCTCACAGAGAGTTACCTGTCAGGACCCCCTAAAATTGAGGAGAGATCCTTGGTATTTGAAAGCTTCCAGCTGGAAATGTGGCCCCGTGGGTGGGCAGGGAGATGAGGCTGATGGAGGAGAAAAGGGACCTGGTTAAGGACACAGAGGGATGTAGAGGAAAGGCAGGGATTTCAACCTGATCTGCTGAGCTGGAGCCCAAACTCTTCCACATTTTGCTCTGCAAGGAGCAGGAGTGTCCTCAAAGCCACCCAAAAAGGGGCTGGTGAGATGGTCCCACGTGAGATGTGCCTGGTGAGCACACAGGGGTTGTTTAATTGACCCAAACAGGTTATTTCTGATCTCCACACCTGCAGAAGCCTCATCCCAGCCCCACAGGGGGGGTTGTGCCTGTCCCATGTGCCAGCCCAGGGCTCTCAGACCCTGCTGGAGACGGGGGACGTTGTTCCCAGGTCACTTTGGGGACTCGGTGTCCCCCCAGCCGTGCACGGCTGGGGGGACACCGAGTCCCCAAAGTGACCTGGGAACCTGGGATCCAAACTGCTGCCCCCACTGAACCTGCCTGCACTGCCAAGCCCAGTCCACCTGGGTCAATGTTTAACTTCTCCTCCCGTGCCAGCAACCACCTGCAGCATAAATGAGTAACCCTTTTCCTGGTGGGAGTCCTGCCACCTATTTACCCTCCCACCTTTGCTGGGCTCAGCAGGATCTCTTGGCACAGTCCCCTCTGTGTCCTTGTGTCCTGCCTGTGCTCTGTGCTCACACTCTGGGGGCTGTTTTTGCTCTGGAGAGCCTTTTTATTTTCCTGGCTGGGACACTCCATCCCAAGGTTCAAGCCGTGCCCCCTGGGATGGAAAGAACAGGGCATTCATTAACAGATGATAATTTATTCATGGCCCTAATCACCCCTGACAAACCGGCCATCAGGGAGTTATTTTTATGTCTTCTTGGTGTTCCTTGAGCATGGCCTTGGCAGGATGGGGAAGGACAGGGGGCAGGAGGGGCAGGAGTGGAACTGGCTGAGTTTATCCAGATCCAGAAGCAGAAACTCCTTGGAAGTCAGGGCAGGGACAAGGTGCTCCCCAAGGGTATTTGTGGTTGGACTCCATGAGCTCAGAGGGTTTTTTCCAACCTTAATGGCCCTGTGATTCTCTTCATGCCATTCCTGGAAGTGTCAGTGGGAAGTGTCCCTGCCCATGGCAAGGGGTGGCACTGGGTGAGCTTTCACGTCCCCTCCAACACAAACCATCCTGGCATTCTTTGATCCCATAAGGATGTGGTTTTTTGCTGCAGAAATCAATTATCTCACCTCTCACCCTCCCTTCTTTCCCAAGTGTTCCCACTCCTGTGCCTTGCACCTTCCCAGGTCCATGGAATGTGGGCAGTGATGTGAATTGAGTGAGTTGTTGGTTCTCAGTCAGCACAGTCCACACCTGGCTCACTGTGCTGTCATCCCAGGGCACGGGGAGCAGGGAGAGGATCCCTCCTTTTGGCAGCAGGGGGAACTTCCAATTGTTGTCAGTCTGGGAATGAGGGAAATAAATGGTTCGTGTTTACAAAAATAGAGGGAGGCCAAAAGGCAGGGCCGAAGGGGGAAGAGCCCTGCAAACCCTCTGAGAAACTGGAAGGAAAGTGCAGCCAGTGGGCTCAGGGTGCAGGGACTGCCCAGAGGAAGAACAGGGAGAAAAATCTGTGGGATTTCAGCTGTGGAACCGAATGGCCGAGTGTTATGGAAAACAACCTCATAAATGGGATTAGAAAGGGATTAGAGAAACCCCTGGGTCATAAAGGCAGTGGATTAGACACTCCTGACCTTCCTAAAGTGGTGGGACACAGCCATGGGAAATGCAGTTCTGGCCTTGTCTTGTTTGTTCTTCGCTTCCCTCACTTCTCCCGCGGTCAGAAATGATCCCAAAAGTCTCTTGTCTTGACTTGATTCTCCTGATTTCAGTTTGCAGCCCCAGAACAAACGGCTGAACGGAGGAGCAAACATATCCTGCCTGCTGACAGACACAAAGTTGGGCACTTCAACTTCAAAACGTGGGATTTAATCCAATTTAAGTCGATAGAATCCCTTTGCAGCCACACTGAGGCTCCAGGGAGACCTGAGAGCCCCTTCCAGGGCCTGAAGGGGCTCCAGGAGAGCTGGAGAGGGACTGGGGGCAAGGGATGGAGGGACAGGACACAGGGAATGGCTTTAAGCTGAAAGAGGATAAATCTAGATGGGATATTGGGAAGGAATTGCTGAGTGTGAGGGTGGGGAGGGACTGGAATGGATTTCCCAGAGAAGCTGTGGCTGCCCCTGGATCCCTGGAAGTGTCCCAGGCCAGCTTGGAGCAACCTGGACCAGTGGGAGATGTCCCTGCCCATGGCAGGGGTGGCACTGGACGAGCTTTCAGATCCCTTCCCACCCAAACTATTTTATGGATCTGTGATTTCCTTGAGCTTTCTCCATTTCCCCCCCCCACCCCGCCCCCAGAAAAAAACAAGCCAGGGAAGCTGTGGGAGAAGTCAAAGCCAGGAAGGAATGATGGTCCTGTGGGTTTATCCACTCACTCATTCATGTCTGCTCATCCTCAACAGCTTGGGAGAAAAAGCCCTTCAGCCCTGCACCCCAGGGACAACCACAGGCTTTCTGTGCCCAGAAGTGTCCAGAAAGGTCCTTGGTTGAGCCCCCAATCTCCCAGGAATCCTGTTTTGGAGGAAAGGAAGCCTGGATTCTTCTTGGTTTCCACTGGACCTTGTTTCAAAGACTTCATCAGCACCTACTTAAGAGCAGTGACCGAATCCCTCTGTGCTTTAAGTCCTCCTCTGAGGACTGAGGGTGATGCTCCACTTTGCATCCAGGGATTCACCAAAAATCGTGTTTCCAAGCCCATTTTCAGCAGCACCTGACCCAGCAAAGCCATTGGGTGATGATGGAAAGCAAGCAGCTCCTTGCATTTAAAAATGACAAATCATTTGTTGTTTCCCTTTCCCTTCCAAGAGCCTTTTATGCAGTTCAGGATAATCAAGCAAAGTGACTTGAAAAGAAAGGCCAGACGTTGCACTGAGAGCCCCCCAGACATTCCAACCCAGGAATGCCAGAGCTGAATCCATCAGCATTTATCACTTGATTAATCCCAACCCCATCAAAGGCCAATCAAAGCCTCCCAGGGGCTTCCACGGGGTTTGTAGTTTTCCCAAAGCAAACAAAGCCAGCCCGACAAAAGAAAGGGGGAGAGACAGGAGACACACAGAGACCAAAGAGAGATGTGGAGTGTCTGCCAATCAGGAGGCAACTTTAGCCCCTGGAATCACACCAAAAAAATCGATGTTTGGAGATAGGAACTGATTCTGAAGGGCAGAGCAGCCTGTTGGCTCCTCAGGGAGAACACTGGGCAGCTCTTCCCACATGAACACCACTGGACTGGCTTTCCTTCCATGGAATCCTCTGCTCTCAGACAGTTCTGGGATCAAAGCAGGACCTCTCAGCTCTCAACCTCACCTGTTTGGTGACTTTGGTGTGGATGTTCTGCAGGGCTTGGGCACACCTTCCAACCTTCTGCTGGCTTCTCATCCAGCCCGTGGATGGATCTGGGCACAGGGACACAGGATGCTCACCTGGGGGCAGCCAAATCCCAGGGCAGGTGGCACAGA